AAATAGGAAGAAAATCAAAGAAAGAATAATTCCTATAATCAAGCTATTCCTAATTGGGCTAATACTACATATTTACAGCCTATAATTTCGTAACAGCTACCATGAGCCTCATTTTTTAAATTTGAGCCTAGATAGTGTTTGGTTGTCTATTTCTTGCTTTGGTCCTCATTCTTTTTAGAATGAGAAATGGGTCCATACCAAAAAATTAATACAGTCCCGACACAAAATAATTGTGCCTCAGGAAAAATTTTTGATTCTCATTCTTCCCTGGCTATTCTCTTGTCTTCAAAGTTCAAGCTAGGGCTCACGGAAGCAATCTCTGCTCTCTGCTCTTTCTTTCTCAAATCACCGCAACTTGGTTCTCTCCACAAACTCACTTTCTCCTTGCGTTCCCCTCTGTAACATTCTCTCCCTGCTCATATCTTAACCGTTGTTTTGCATCTCTTTTTCCTTATTTTGGTTCTAATTTATTTTTCTCTTCTGGTATCTAACTCCATTGTGGCTGTGTTTTGCTGTGTCCAATTTGCAGGTTTGTAACTCTACACCATCTCCAAAATCTCCTCCTTAGATGTTTGTAAGTTCCTGCTCCTCATTGTCCAATGTGTCAAATTTGATTACTTTTTGGATGATCTGTGAATTTTTGAAATTTTATGCATGCTCTCCACTTTGTTAACTACCTATAATTGATTAAGACTTGGAGCATTTTAGTCACAGTTCCTGTTTAGTAGAATTCCATAGATTTGAAATACTGGTTGGAGGTTTTGTTAGTATTACTCCTCTCGTGATTTTTCCCCTAGTTCATCTGAAATTCTATTTATATCTAATATCTCTTTACTAATAACTTGTTTAACAATAGCCTTGGTATGCTAGGCAGTTGTAGCAGAGATCATTGAATTTCATTCAATATTTTATTAGAAAAATGTATTATTGGTCATTAGACACCGTCTAGAATTGTTTGCTGAAATACCTTGCTAATTAATGGCATCTGGCGGCAATTTTGCCTAATTACAGGTTTTTTACCAGGGCTATGATATTGACTGGTTACCTAAAAGCCCATGCGGCATATTGGGAGGCTGGCCATCTCGTTTCTGCTACCTCTGATCGTGACCTTACTTTAGATCGGTAAGTCGAGTGCGAAAAATCACCTGAAAATAAATACAATTCTGTTACAATTGTTAATGGCCAGCATTTTATCCTCTTACAAGCACTAAAATCCCTAAACAATGGCAGTAGAGGGATTCTTGCTAACTAATGATGACTGAAATATGGAGAAGATCAAACTCTCCCAGTAATTTGAGCTAAATAGCACTGCTATATATTTCAAGAATATTTAAAAGAATGAATTGAAAGCTAATCAGATTTATGCCCCCAACCAAATAATAAATAAAAAATCAACTAGAATTTTTGCCCTCTGCTTTGGTAGATTAAGCTTTGGAACTTTTTTTTGGTAGACTGGATTTGGAGTTTGTATTTGTAATTCAATAGTTAATAGGACTATAATCTTCAGCCCAACATTTTTACTCACATCAGCATATGAGATCAATTGATGTTTTGTGCAATTAGGTGTATGTTATGTTGAAACGAAATCAACTTGCACTGTGTAAATACTGCTGGGACAGACCAACAGAAAGCAGTTAATTAGTTTTACAAGAGGAGGCCATGTCAGCACAACTAATCGTCCACTTGCAACATCTGTAACAGAAAGGGATTAAAGAATGTAAACAGTATAAGTAGTGAGGCACAAAGAGAAATAAGACATGAATCTTTCGGCATTAATCTCTCTCTCTCTTTCCTTCCAACGAGTTCAGGAGGTTGGCTCCCTCGAAGAGCCCTGAGTTAGGCAGGTTCCTAACAAGTTGGTATCAGAGCAAGCATAACCAACACAAGAACCATGTCAGTAGACACCCGAGTGGATCAGATGGAGGTAGAGATCCATTGAATGTCATCAGATCTCAAAGAAATGAAGGAAAGTTTCACCGCTCTCCTCAATCGACTGGAGCAGGTGGCAACGAACAACGACAGAGGAAGCCAAGAAGAGCGTAGCAATGAAAACAACCGCAGAACAGGGCCGGCGGCAACTAGAGCAGCCAAAATCGACTTTCCCATCTTCTTAGGTGGCGACCCAACTCCCTGGATTCTCAGAGCTGAGCGTTACTTTGATTACCATGAGACACATCGGCAAGATAGGGTGGCTTTGGCTTTTGCGCATCTTGAAGGGGAAGCTATCCTCTGGTTTCAATGGTACCGACAGGGGCACCCTCGTCAAACTTGGGCAGACTTCACCGACGCCATGACTATTCGTTTTGGATTGTCTGGGTTCGAAGATCACGATGAGAGTTTGGCAAAGCTGCGGCAGGTGGGATCGGTTAAAGACTACCAGATGGAGTTCGAGAAGCTGGCCATGAGAGTCCAATGGTGGATGGAGAAGGCGCTGGTTGGAAGCTGACTTGAAAGAAGAACTGCGACTGGATGTGAAGGCGATGCAGCCCACTTTGGTCATAAATGCAGCAACGCTAGCAAGAGTGTATGAAGATAAGTTTGCTCGAGCAAGAAAGGTGTAGCAGCCATGGGGTTCAGCAACCAGGACGGCAGCACTAGACAAGGAGGAAGGAATACTGGGCCCAGGCCCATCAGTTCCCTTCAAACGGCTGACCTGGGCAGAGATGCAAGCCCACAGAGACAAAGGACTCTGCTACAACTGCGAAGAGAAATTCGGGCCGGGCCATCGATGCAAGAAACAACAAGCATTTCTCCTTCAAATGGATTCCAAAGAGGAAGACAACCTCACCGGTTGCGGGGAATCTAACCCAGGGTGGGAAATACAACCCAATGGGACACCTGAAATATCTCTACAAGCCCTTACAGGACTTGCGTCCCCTCAAACAATGAGAGTTGTCGGGCTAATCCAAGGACGCCAAGTGTTAATCCTCATAGACAGTGGCAGTTCCCTTAACTTCATAACTCAAGTCTTGGTGGATAAAATGGGATTCCCGGTTCAACCAACAATGGCTTTTATGGTTCATGTGGCCAACGATAATAGCCTATCTTGCAATAGCATATGCATGGGCTTACAACTAAAGGTTTAGGGTCTCCAGTTTTTGGTAGACCTATATCGTCTTCATCTCAATGGAGCGGACGTGGTGCTAGGCATTCAATGGTTAAGACAGCTAGGCCCTGTGATCTGTGACTAGGCCCATCTCACCATGAACTTCACATCAGGCAACCCTATAGTCCATCTACAAGGGCAAACATGCAAGGGTCCAAGGGCCCATCAGTCTTGCAACATTAACAAAGCAAATGGGAGATCCGGATTAGCTCATATTCATGCACATGGACTCAAATTGGACCAACCCATCTTTAGCTAACAACAGCCCAAATGGGCCTGGAGACTTCCAAAATCGCCTACAACAACTCCTTCAACAATATGGCAGCATGTTCAAAGAACCCCAAGAATTTCCACCACGTCGGGAGCATGACCACTGCATCCCTCTCATGCCAAGAGCCACCCCAACCAATGTAAGACCTTACTGATACCCTTTCAAAAATTTGAAATTGAGAAGCAAGTTCAAGATATGCTTAAGCAAGGAATAATACAACCCAGCCACAGCCTGTTCTCTTCACCGGTATTATTAGTCAAAAAGAAGGATGGGACGTGGCGATTTTGTATTGATTACAGGGCCCTTAACAATATCACCATTAAGGACGGATTTCCAATACCGGTCATTGATGAGCTGCTTGATGAACTCATTCAAGTCACCATATTCTCAAAATTAGATTTACGAGCTAGGTATCATCAAATAAGGGTACATAGGGAGGATGTTCACAAAACGGCTTTCAGGACACATGATAGCCACTATGAGTTCCTGGTCATGCCATTTGGGCTGACCAACGCTCCAGCAACATTTCAAGCACTAATGAACGACATATTCTGACCATATTTACGTAAGTTCATCCTTGTTTTCTTTGATGACATATTGGTCTATAGCCCCAATTGGGAGGAACATCTGAATCATCTACAGGTCACCTTCGCAACACTTAAGGCCCACCAGTTGTTCGCTAAAGAGTCCAAGTGCTCCTTTGGACAAAACCAAGTTAATTACTTGGGACATGTTGTAGAAAACGGAACTGTAGCAGCCGACCCAGATAAAATCTCCAGTATAATGGGCTGGCCGCAACCCAAAAGTGTGAAAGAATTGAGGGCCTTCTTGGGCCTTACTGGGTACTATCGCCGCTTCATCAAAAACTACGGCCTAATAGCTACCCTGTTGACCCAATTGCTGAACGAGATGCTTTCACTTGTCAACCCAGGCCCAACAAGCTTTTGAGCAGTTGCGAGTCCTCCAACATTAGCATTGCCCAATTTCACAAAAGACTTCATCATTCAACAAGGCCTTAACATCACAAAAGTGGGCCAAATCAGTTTATGAACGAGAATTAATAGTAGTGGTCTTAGCAGTTCAATGTTGGCGATCCTACTTGCTCGGTAGGCGGTTCATAATTCGGACCGACCATCAAAGTTTGAAGTTCTTATTAGAACAATCAGTCCTATCGCCGGAACAACAACGATGAATATCCAAACTACTGGGGTACGACTACATAATTGAGTACAAAGCAAGGGCTGCTAACCGGCTGGCTGATGCCCTCTCACGGCACCCACAATCATTTCAGTTACTAGTATCTTCCCCAACATCTCCACTCTTAGATCAGCTTCGAACAGAAGCCCAATCCCATATGGAGTTACAGCAGTTGAAGGCGCCCAAGTATTGGCAAATCCCTCACTGCACCCCGGGTATACCATCAAGGATGATCTACTCTTCTTCAAAGGACACCTAGAAATCCCGGCAGATTTCGCTCATTTCAGGAAGCTCTTGGAATTATTCCATGCCTTGCCCACAGGTGGCCACTCCGGAATCCTACGAACACAAAAATGCATCGCCGCACAATTCCATTGGAAAGGTATGCATACATCCATTCAGAACTTCATAGCTGGGTGTGTACAAAATAAATCAACCACTACAACACCAGCAGGCCTCTTGCAACCACTCCCAATACCAACCCAAGTCTGGGATGATATATCAATGGATTTCATCACGGGATTGCCCGTTTCTGCCGGAAAAACAGTTATCCTTGTGGTAGTGGATAGATTGACGAAATACAGTCATTTCCTACCTCTATCACACCCATTTACAGCAGTCACAGTTGCTGAATTGTTCCTCCGGGAAATTGTGTGCCTGCACGGGCTCCCCAGCTCAATTGTGTCAGACAGGGACCCTGTTTTTATGAGCCGTTTGCTGAACTTTTTCGTCTGCATGGGGTTAAACTCTTCAAGTTAACTAGCTACCACCCCCAATCTGATGGACAGACAAAGGTGGTTAACAAGAGTCTCGAAACATATCTAAGATGCTTCGCGAGAGATTGACCAAGACAATGGGTGAAGTGGTTCCACTGGGCTGAATGGTGGTACAACACCACTTTCCATTGTGCTGCTGGGATGACACCCTTCAGAGCTCTATATGGTCGTGATCCTCCCCCTCTACTTCCTTATGAAAAAGGGACCACCACAGTAGCGGCCTTAGAAGAACAGATGACACAACGAGATGACATGTTAAAGGAATTGAGAAATCATCTCTTACAGGCACAACAATGGATGAAGTGTACCTATGATAAACATCACAAGAATGTCCAATATGAAGTCAGTGATCGACCCACGCTATTTTGGACCATTTAAAATCCTTGAGAGGATAGGGTCAGCGGCATACAAGCTGGACCTCCCCGCAACATCAAAATTGCACCCTGTATTCCATATCTCCTTACTGAAGAAAGGGCCGAAGCCAGGAGTCATTACAAGTGCGACCCTTCCCACATTTTCAGATGAAGGACAAGTGCAGACTGAGCCAGCCCACATCATTGATTTTAGATGGGTGCGCCATGGTAGAAGAGTCATACCATAAGCATTAGTTGTTTGGTCTATACTCCCAGAAGAGGATGCAACCTGGGAATCCTACTTGGATCTGCAATCAAATTTTCCCGCATTAGACCTTGAGGGCAAGGTCGCTCTAAAGGAGGGAGGGATTGTAAAGACTGCTGGAACAGACCAACAGAAAGTAGTTAATCAGTTTTACAAGAGGAGGCCACATCAGCACAACTAATCGTCCACTTGCAACAGCTGTAACAGAAAGGGATCAAAGAATGTAAACAGTATAAGTAGTGAAGCACAAAGAGAAATAAGACATGAATCTTTCGGCATTAATCTCTCTCTCTCTCTCTCTCTTTCCTTCCAACGAGCTCAGGAGGTTGGCTCCCTCAAAGAGCCCCGAGTTAGGCAGGTTCCTAACAGACTGCT